GCTCCCATATGGAGGGAGGGGCCTTCACTTCTCGCAATCGCTTCTACTGCCAAAATTTTGAATTTTCTTGGACAACCTGGGTCAAGTGTTCTTACCAGAGGTAGTCCAATTCTATATGGTTTTATTGTCATTTTCAATCTGATCAGCCACACCGTATCGTCTCATTTGTTACAGAAGGCACGCGATGAGACTTTGAAGCATTACTTGATGAGCTCGGTATTCAAGCTCGATCTATTCGCAATGATTCCCACGGACTTCATCTACATCTACAGTGGCCCTACACCAATCTGGCGTCTAAACAAACTAACAAAGGTAGTTTTTCCTGAAAAATCTATTCTGAAGAGCAAATTCGGTAAAGTTCTCTGCTTCTTGGTTTCTTTGAGCTTCTATGAGATCTTGATTCGCTATATTCGGAAAGGCCCACAGATTTGAACAGAATCGGAATAATCTTTCATTTGCTGAGTTTGTTTATTGTACTGTTTTTATAGGGGGCGGAAGTGGTGTAGTGGCAAGTGGCACGCTTACCACGCGAGCGGTCCGGGGATCAAATCCTGGGTCGTGAGTCGCCCGGGCCAACCAAGCCTTCCATCCCTCCGGGGTCGGTTAATTGGTACCAGACTTGTCTGGGAGGATAAAAACACTGACTTGTACATCGGCTGGCCCCCGCAAGTCACCACATCGCATTCAAACGCCACTACGAATGTACAAATGGAAGTAGAATGCGTGCCGCATCCCAAAAAGGGATTGATCAACGGCAAATGCTTTATCCTTTTTATAGTTAAATTAGTTGTGTGCTGTGGAACGCAAAAAAATAACCTAAACAAAACCTTGAAGGCAGTGATTGCAAAAGCTGGGAGGAGTAGCCATTGTGGGGACGTTATTGGTGGGAGAGAGTAGAGAGGTCCGACTACACCCCCCTCCTTCCTAGCCAACGCCATCAATTCATTTAACTTTTAGATTGTGGCTTTTTTGCGTTAAGCCACAGATTTTCCTACACCAGTCCGTCGCTTTATTTTCAACTCAATGATTGTCCAAACTTATGATTAGTTGGACCAAGATCTCATCTGGGATTTGATCATTGGGCCATGTACATGTGACAGCCGCTCTTGCCACTACACCATCTCTGCCTGAATCAAATTTATGAGAGAAATTCAAGAGCTCCTTCCGCTGGAGCCCTCTAGAGACAAAGCCAGTCCGACTCAGATCACTATACCTGTCTTGAACCTGCTCGTGTCGTGTACCTAACCTGTAATAGTTCACCTAGTGTAGCAAAACTACCTCCTTAAAACGAAGACTATAGGGCGCTTCAGATAGGGGCCGTTATGATAGGGAGTCTTGTTAGAACAGCGGGAATCAGGTCCTTATCTAAATAATAGGGTTAACCTTCAAGCGGGCAGGATGAACTCCAAATTGCGCTGATCAATATAAAAAAAAAAAAAAAAAAAAAAAAAAAAAAAAAAAAAAAAAAAAAAAAAAAAAAAAAAAAAAAAAAAAAAAAAAAAAAAAAAAAAAAAAAAAAAAAAAAAAAAAAAAAAAAAAAAAAAAAAAAAAAAAAAAAAAAAAAAAAAAAAAAAAAAAAAAAAAAAAAAAAAAAAAAAAAAAAAAAAAAAAAAAAAAAAAAAAAAAAAAAAAAAAAAAAAAAAAAAAAAAAAAAAAAAAAAAAAAAAAAAAAAAAAAAAAAAAAAAAAAAAAAAAAAAAAAAAAAAAAAAAAAAAAAAAAAAAAAAAAAAAAAAAAAAAAAAAAAAAAAAAAAAAAAAAAAAAAAAAAAAAAAAAAAAAAAAAAAAAAAAAAAAAAAAAAAAAAAAAAAAAAAAAAAAAAAAAAAAAAAAAAAAAAAAAAAAAAAAAAAAAAAAAAAAAAAAAAAAAAAAAAAAAAAAAAAAAAAAAAAAAAAAAAAAAAAAAAAAAAAAAAAAAAAAAAAAAAAAAAAAAAAAAAAAAAAAAAAAAAAAAAAAAAAAAAAAAAAAAAAAAAAAAAAAAAAAAAAAAAAAAAAAAAAAAAAAAAAAAAAAAAAAAAAAAAAAAAAAAAAAAAAAAAAAAAAAAAAAAAAAAAAAAAAAAAAAAAAAAAAAAAAAAAAAAAAAAAAAAAAAAAAAAAAAAAAAAAAAAAAAAAAAAAAAAAAAAAAAAAAAAAAAAAAAAAAAAAAAAAAAAAAAAAAAAAAAAAAAAAAAAAAAAAAAAAAAAAAAAAAAAAAAAAAAAAAAAAAAAAAAAAAAAAAAAAAAAAAAAAAAAAAAAAAAAAAAAAAAAAAAAAAAAAAAAAAAAAAAAAAAAAAAAAAAAAAAAAAAAAAAAAAAAAAAAAAAAAAAAAAAAAAAAAAAAAAAAAAAAAAAAAAAAAAAAAAAAAAAAAAAAAAAAAAAAAAAAAAAAAAAAAAAAAAAAAAAAAAAAAAAAAAAAAAAAAAAAAAAAAAAAAAAAAAAAAAAAAAAAAAAAAAAAAAAAAAAAAAAAAAAAAAAAAAAAAAAAAAAAAAAAAAAAAAAAAAAAAAAAAAAAAAAATAAGGCTATTCTTCAGATGGCGCGCGCATTTCGTGAAAGACGAGATTCTCAGTTTCTCGACAGAAAACCCCTATCTTTATTTAGTTGAAGTGACAATAAGGAATAAAATAAATTATGAAAATGAATGGTAAAATAAAATACTGCCAAAAATTATAAACTAATAGACTGATGCCCTACAATAGAAAAAGTTGCATCGATAGCTTCACAATGATTTTTGAACTTGCCATAAATTCGATCCTTTCACATGTAATGAACAGACAATGGACTACTATGATTGCGATTGCTGGGATGTGGAGCTAATTCGAGAACGCCATTGGTGGAAGGACATTGAGAGGCGGTCCGATCACAATTTCTATGCTATGTGAAGAATGTTTAACGCGGTGGCGTGCCTCTCTACGCCCTTTCCCGGTAAGGTTCCCGAATCAGCCTATCCCAGCTATGGCAATCATTACCTTCAGAAGCACTTTTTTATCGGATCCTTAAGCATCAACTTCCGATCAACACTCGCTCCCCTAGTTTGATCAATCGTCCTCTGCGAGTGGGCGGGAAACGGCAATAAACAAACAGTGGATGTATGCCCATTGTATATCACTTACCTATCAATTTCACGTTAAGCGGTCGAGACCTAATCAATGGAATCGTGGGGCCATGATTGAGGCAACATCTCCTAGTAGGAGTCATGTGAAACATCTATCGCATGTGGGTGGATAGAGTAGCTGCAAGTATCACAGATGGCCACTTTTGCGACTCGAAAGTGCAACAATGGTTAGGGGCATTACAAAGTGAACTTTTATCTTTAGCCGTGGAGCAGTGCGAGTTCGTACAGCTCGTCTAGCCCGCTCTCCTTCATTTAAAAGTAGAAGTTTGTTCAGGGCTCATCCACGGTTTTCTTTGCTTTTTTTTCAGTCAGCTCGCATCCCACTCCGTTACTGTGTCGTGGGGACTCCACAATTTGTCGTTACGGTGTTCTCTGAGGCGGCCTAAACGCGCAAGCATTGTCTTGAAGGGGTTGAGCACGATTGTCCATCATCATGCGATTGACTATGACCGGATTTTCCCAAAGCTAACTGTAATTACGGAACGCGTCACCTCTCACGTTCGTAAGCACTACTGATATTCCACAGTTACTAAGCCACTTTTCTCCGAAGGGATCCGATGAGAGAGTTGATGGAAGATCCTTGGAAGATCGAAAACGTTAAGAAAGAGTTTGAGCATCAAGGCCCACCTAAGGAGCTCCACTTGAGGCTTGGTGTGGCGTTTCACCTTCTGGTTAGCAAAGGTGGTGTCCGAGATGCGTTCATGAAAGAGTGGTTGTAGGAAACGCAAAGCTTGAAAATCTTAGGAAATGGTAGCTTTGAAAATCCAGGGTTTTGAGGATAAATTCTCATGTTGTTGGCACTGCAGCTTCAACAAAAAGCTCAAATCAGAAGTAATGAAAATTTTCGGATACAAGAACGCACCCAATTGCTTTCACCCACAAACATCCATATGTTAGTTTTCAATCACTAATCTATCCCACGTTTTCAAGGTAACGCCTACATACGCTGCTTTTACTTCACAGCAGCCGTCGCCACCTCAACGGGGAACAATCCGGCACCTACGAACGTTATCGAGTGAGTTCTAAAACAGGAACCGAATTCGTAGTTAGCACTAACGTTGGGACCGCGTTCCCATCTGGGTGAATATCGGTCGAGGATTCCTCAACGGCACGTCGAGGATTTTTGCCTGATCAGCTACGTTCTCCCGCGCGGACATTCACTCTCGGCACTGCTCTCGCACAGTACAGAGTCATGGTCGAGGAATTCCACGACCTTATTCACCCTGATTCCCATGCATTCCCATCACTCATTCAGATATGTGTACATGACGTGTTCCTGGATGATGGGAGTGTTCGTGTTCGCTCTGCTTCTCGGACAGGTAAGCCGCCAGGAGGCTTAACAGCCTTGGCCGAATATCCTCTTACAGATCCGCGATATCGTGTCAAATGCAAATCGCACAAGGGAGGAGTATCGCCGACAGATGGACATGGCACTGTCGGAATGCAAACGTCTGGGACTACCAAAGGAGTTGACGAATCGTGTGCGTGATTGGTTCATCTACACATGGGAACAGCAGAAAACTTTGGGTAAGTCGCAACTCCGGTTAGGTAACTTTGAAAATTTCGTAGAGCTACTATTCTTCAGATGAGAAGAAGCTCATCGAGAAGCTGCCATTGAAGCTTCAGACCGATCTCGCTTTATCCGTCCATTACAACACGCTCAGCAAAGTGCAGCTTTTCCAGGTCGGTCCGCTTCCACAACTTTCAGGAACCGTGTGCAGCAGTACCCGGCCCGGGATGGACCCGAAAAATCCGCATCTCTACTCCGGTCGATTCTCTACGCATTCCATATGGGCAAGGGTCGTATCCTATCCCTTCCTCCAGGCTAGGGTAACAAAAAGTTCCTTTGAATTTTCTTTGTCTTCCCAACAGAAATCGCCCTGAGAAAGTAACATATTTGTAATGTGCATATGTGTGTAAAAGCAAGCATGCAGAAAAAGTAAAGGAAATCTGAAGTCTTCGATCAAATAAAATTTGAAATACCTTTTATTCCTTAGCTGGGGGGGGGTCGGCAAGACTGGACCGTAAAGACGTCGTCCAAATAGCCAGCAGAGTTTTTATCGGGATTCATCATCACCGGTACTGCGCGGACACGGGCCCAGATTGCAGGTAATGTTCAATGCAAATTGATAGTTTCAGCGATTGCGCCCTCGACCCTGTCTACGTGATTTGTGCTGAAATTCGAGACCTTGTCATTACTTACCAGTCGACCATGATTTGTAAGCAAGCTAGTTTCAACATCTATCTTTGCTGTTACGGCTTCTTGCTGCAGCCACAAACCATCACTACCCGCATATCCGTAGAAATTGTAATTCGAGAATTCCTTCTTATGACTTTATGAATGGAGCGGGCGTGTCATTTAAAGGCAGTGATCACGATGATTGGAGGGCGGTGCTGTTCTGATGACGTCGTTGAACGTCATTGGTGGACCAGATTTGGGGGTGTGGTTGAGAGCGCCCCTAAAGACCCTACACGAATGACGCTCAATGACACCATCACAACGGCACCGTCTCCATCTCTGCTGCATTCTAGATCAGTTACTCAATTTTAGGGTGATGTGGGCAAGGAGATGTACATCGTGAATCAGGGAGTACTACAAGTCGTAGGAGGCGAAAACAACGAGACAGTCTTTGCAGAGCTCCGACAAGGATCTGTCTTCGGCGAGATCAGGTACGACTATGAGCAAGGGCATGAAAGTCTCCCTCAAGACTTTAAATGTTGGGTGGGTGCTAACTTCCGAGTTTTTGGAGTAGCACCCATCTCAACCACCAGGAACATGATTTTGCTACCGCAAGGTGTACTTCTCCTCAAAGCTTTTGTCTTACATGTAGGTGTACACACTGAACACTATCAGAAACGGTAACAGCAGCCCAGAATCGTTTTGTGTTCAATCAGAAGGCAGCCCATCAAAATTAAGGTAGAGGTGGTCAGTGGTGCCAGGATGAAGAAAAACGGTAGAGAAACGGCCCACAACTCGAGAAATAGGACCTCTTCTCTGCCCGTTGATTTCCGCATTGATCCCACAGTGAATGGTTGGTTAGCCAGTCGGTGGGCGGACCGCGCCAATAGCGCGCCAATCGCGCCGCGAAGAAAGGCCATGCTAGATCGCCGGGCATATCCTTCGATGCGAATTGCGTGTCGGTCCGCACCCTTAGGAGGTCCGCCTGTCTCTCCACTAGGTAAGTTTCCCCTTCTTCGACCTTCCTCCTTATCGCAGAACCGTCCTCCGAGAAAGTGTGCCATTTTTCAGCGCACTGCTCAAGCCATCTCTTGAAATTGTTAAGTATTTCTGAAGCTCTTGCAGCCGTAAAGCTGAATCTTTTCAGTCTGCTCGCTATTGGTGGTAACAATCGAAGGACAGCGTCTATTCGAGCAAAAGGCTACTCGACGCTATTCGTGTTGCTGAAAGAGGATCTGAACGATGTCATCAAATATTATCCACAGGCTCAAATTCTTCTCAAGAGAAGGGCTGCGTAAGTGTGAAGCTGCTGGAGGAGGGGTTAATCGGGTGGTTTGTAATTGTGGGCTATAGCACAATTACGAAGCACCCTATCATGATTTCTTTTTGAAAAGCGTTCAGGAAGATTATACCGCTTTTCGTAATGCAGGATTCCCATAGAATTGCTCTCTTGTCGATGTGAGTTGCAATGGCCGATGTCAGACTTTGCGATTGGAGCGATTTTGCACCAATTGCAGGAGCGACGGATCGCTTGAGCGATGCGAGCGACGGGAGATTTACGAACTGATGGCGCCGAATTATCGGTGGTCGGCGGTGTAAATCTCCCGTCGCTCGCATCGCTCAAGCGATCCGTCGCTCCTGCAATTGGTGCAAAATCGCTCCAATCGCAAAGTCTGACATCGGCCAATCTCGTACGCTGACTATCAAGGGAACTGCAATAACGGTCCTAGTCACTTGAATTGGCAGGCCTTGTGGATTTCTATGTCGCAAACCACCGATTCTCCAAAATTTAGCTTATAAAAACGGAAAAAATCACTTTTTCTCAAACTATGGAAAAGCCAGGTAGTGACTTCAGCTGCAGAAAACGAAGCTTAGGTAGGACCCGATCTATGGGATTATGATGGAATACATCTGCCTAAACACCTTCCTGTGAGCAGCAGGTGGTGTTTATGATGGCAGGAAAGCGGTACCAATCAGAAAAAAAATAAAACCCTTCCGTGGTTGAAGAAAGGTGGAGAGGAGTTAGCAATGAAATTGATCAGCATCCGATTCCATGAATTTTGCAGGCAAATGCTGAAAAACGATAAGAAAACAGAGACGACAACCGTGGAAGAACGCGGTCTCCAGGAGACCTGCCGACTTTCCCTTGGCCTTGCAACTCCTCGCATGTTACGTGTTGTCGCTGAGATTTTGAGCCCGGAAAAGAACTCCACGGCACAGATAAAAGAAGCTATTGATAAAGGCGGTCAGTTAGCCTTCGCGGTTATCACAAAATAATTTTTTCATTATGGATTGCTTCAGATCAGAAACGACGCCATTCAACGTATCCATGGTCGGCGATCCCTCAAGAAGATCTGTCCGACGATTCGGCTTTCGAAGGAGGCTCCGAAGACGACGAAAGTAACGAAATCATCCCAGAAAACGACGATGCAGCGGAGGAATAGCTACGTCAGGAGAAATCTATGAATCTATTCACACCATTTTTTATTAACTGGACATCAACAGGGGTGTCCCCCAAGAGGCCCGTCGCGCGGCGAAGAAAGAGACGCAGACGCGGCAAAGGACGAGTCGCAGCGCATACTGTAGCGGTTGGGCGTCAATTTCAATAGAACGCATTACAGTACGTAAGATACCATTCACTCCACGGCGTGGACTGAAATTCGATATTCTTATTCCTATTCCTCCTTTCCTCCTTTCCTCCACATTCAATTGCCCCTAGACTGCTCGTCTTTTTTACGTCTCTTCCATTTCTTCACGTGTATAAGCAAATACAGTACGTAAAGCGGCGTGTATAAGCAGATATCGAATTTTGAGCCCACGCCGTGGAGTGAATGGTGTTGTACGTACTGTAATGCGTTCTATTGAAATTGACGCCTAACCGCTACAGTATGCGCTGCGACTCGTCCTTTGCCGCGTCTGCGTCTCTTCCTTCGCCGCGCGACGGGCCTCTTGGGGGACACCCACATCGACAGAGGTGTTGTGGTAAGGTGAATACGATATGTGATACAGTGATAAACCGTCCTACTCCAAACTTCTGGTTCTAACACAACATGTTAATAACTAGTTCAATATTAGTATACTATGAAACTGTGCATGTAAATTGTTACTGGGCGCTATCGCAAGGTACGGGCATCCTCTACACTAGACCTAGGATGAAGTAGGAACTTCGGAGAGAATGAAAATTGCTCACGCATCTTGAATTCTCTCCTTCCCTGCCTAAGGTTCAGGCCCATTTTTTAGAAAAAGGAAATGTTTTATGTGGCTTTTATTGCGTCGCCACAACAATGCCCCCATACCTTACGATAGCGCCCGTTACCATATTTGAGGTTCCCTTCAACGAAACTGGATAATCTTCAGGAATGTGATCCGCTTTGAACCCCCCCCCCACAGTGAGATATGACATAAATTGACATAAACTTTGCTTCTACACAAAACCACTCAGCTGACTTGCTACAAAACTTTTTTTCAAACAGGAAGATGAAATGAACAACAAAAAAATGTGAGCTACAAAAAAGTGAAACTATTAAACAGAAAATGCACGCGAAACCTCTTCAAACAAATTTATGGAGGTGTGTAGATCAAATAGCCTGCAGGATTTACCATGCATCGATTGGTGTTGCTTATACAGTTCCACAATATTTCTGAGAGCATTCATGAGTAAAAACTGATGGTATTGAGGACTTCCGTTTTAGACGCATCGCACATTCCAATTCCATTTCGTGGCGACATTGAACTCCTCTTCAGTTGCACAGTGCTAGCCTATTTACCCTCCCCTTCAAAAAGCGAGAAAGTGTCGGGTGCAGACCATGCACCACAAATGACGACGGTCGTCAGTTGTGGTGTTTGTTCTGCACCCGACACTTTCTCGCTTTTTGAAGGGGAGGTTACGAGTCAGTGCTTTTACTCTACATGTTACCAGTTAGCAGAAATCCCAATCACTACAAATTGTCCAGATCTGCTTTGAATGGCCACAAAATTTACAGCACTTCTCCGTCAGTCCTAATTCTGCATAGTTTTGAGCATCCAAACTTTTATCACAAGCGCGACAGGTAAGGGTTCACATTAAATGTCTGATGCTAAATAACGGGATAAAATTTTTGTCAGTTTTGAGTACGGACAAACACATATCGAATCTTGCTACGGTTGGAGACAATGAGGGACGTCAACTGAAAGATCGTCATTTTGAGTGTTCAAGAAAAATGCTGATAAAGGATTCATTTTATCTTGAGCCTCTCGACTATAAAACTATACAAATTAGGCCAGATAATAGGATGTCTGCTTGACATAGGACAGACAAATGTTTACAATGTCGCACATGGTCATGTAGCGCTTCAATCAACGTTCAGATAAAAATAACATCACAACGCTCGAATTTACATACAGCATAGTAAGACGAACAACCAGGTGAGGATATTACTGTGAATTGATCCGCCCCAAACTACGACATTCAAAAGAAGATTCAAACCATGTTCGCATGTCCATGCAGGTCGCCCTGTTGAATGGTGCATTGCCCCTTTTCTTCTCCACATGGCCGCGACAGTTACCAGTTTCACAATCCTGTATAAAGAATATTAAGCAGGCGGGAACCATTGAAAGTTCAAAAAAATCTTATTAAGGAGAAATCATCAAATATTTCAAGGATCCCTAGGGACAAAAGTTGCTCTCTTCAGAATTCAAAAAGTGAAAATGGAGATAGATAGCGAAAGAGCTATCTCACCAAATACAAAAACCTTCCGTTGAACGACGTACACCACACTGCGATTCCGCGAACCAATGGAAGTCTAGTGCCTGGAGGCGGGCTAGTGCGGGTGACATCTCTCAGGGATTTTTATTCGTTCCAAATCTTCGGTCGGCGCTACGATGCCCATCGTCGTAGAGCAGTTTACCTTCACAATTACAGAAGAGACCCACCAATCCTTCGCATCTTTAACGCCTTTCTCGTAGAACTTTCCATCCCCCGTACCACGTCAGCTTTTTCAAACACCCATCTTGGGACCCATATAACGTGGGCTCCCGGGCCTCTTTCGCCACATCCGAAGGCGTGGCCGTGTCGGCGCGGACGAGACGTGCCGGGAAGCAGAGCTGTACTGGTGAGACACAGACAAGAGAGTAGGACGAGAAAACGATCCTCACTCCGCCCGTTTGAATCCCGCCTAACGCGCCGCGCGGCTACGCCTCCAACGTGTGATAAAGTCCTACGAGCCCTGCAATGTGCCCAGATATTACATCTGACACGAATATTATATCCGTCTTATTGTTAAATATTGAATCAAATTTCAAAAAATAAGGAAAAATAATTTGACTGCGGTTCTGTCACCGTCATGATGTATCGTAAACCCTGATAGGGCATGTGTCCTACTCCCGAATCCGTCGCTCCCAATACGATTATTATTCTCTTGAAATAAATAATCGTGTATTTTAATTAGTTTGATCAGTAGTTCTCTCTGAGCTTAGCCTATGTCTAATCATTCCTCAATTCTGTCCCGCTCCTCAATGTCCAAGTAACCGTCAATCTGACACTGGAGGCGAATGTCTAAGATGAGTTTACGACGTTCCACGGGTTCTGCAACGGAACGAGATGAAGAGGAGTTATCCTTTCCTGAAACCTCAAACAAGAGCTCTGAAAACGAATGATGAGCATATTGGCCTTATCACCACTTTCGGAATGCGCCATGTGTTCTGCTTCCATTTTGCTTACTGAAACACGGGGGGGCAAACGTGCCCTACCAACATAACTCCCGAAGCGCACTAAGTATCCGAACGGAGTGCACTGCTTCATTCTCACCACAAAAGCATGAGACCGACGTCCATAGTCGCCGAACGGAACAAGCGATGGAGCGATCGCGATCGCTCCATCGCTTGTCCGTCGCTTGCCAATCGCTCTTGGTCGAGCGATTGGCAAGCGATTGCGCAATCGCTTGCAAAGTGCACAAGCGACGGGCAATGTCTCTGCTCGATCAATACCGCAATGTGGGGGGTGCCGAGGCGGTAGGCGGGCGCTTCGACCGCATTGACTGGGGGCGGGGCCAATCGCCCGTCGCTTGTGCACATTGCGCAATCGCTTGCCAATCGCTCGACCGAGAGCGATTGGCAAGCGACGGACAAGCGATGGAGCGATCGCGATCGCTCCATCGCTTGGTCCGTCGCCGACTATGACGTCGGTCTTAATAAACCAAGGTTGACACGAAATGGAATCGGTCTGCAAATTCGACCTTCAATCGTGCGCCTCGTCAATAGTCCAACACTTGCCCGCTCACATCGACCACGGCCTCAATCTCTACTCCATCGTTGTCTTGCCGTGCATGATGGATGCCCATCTCAACTCACCAAAAACCAGCTAATCAGACCTGATCTGTTCACCTGCTCTCGCACAAACGAAATAACCAGTCCGCGAAAAGCCGAATACTCGAATTAAACCTGTTCCATTCCGACGGCGATATATAATGGTTCTCCCCGCAAAATCACAGGCCAAAAAAATTAGGTGCACCAACACTACTTTTACTTCCACGCCGCAGCTCCAAGATCATCTCCGAGAGGGAGGCAATGATCCAAAACCTGCGCGAAAAAGAGAATGCAACCACTCAAGAATCAGAGCGTGGCGAACGCCTGGCCCATCCCTCATAATCGTTCGAGAGAGGCCGGCAACATCCGCGAGAAGTTCGGCAGCTCGTTCCATACACCGTGAGGCCTTCTTGTGGGTGCGACAACTACGGCGCCGACTGATAACAATATTACCGAGAAAAAAGATCCTTCAAAATCAGTAATCAATTCGCGAAACAAAAGCATTCCACTCAAAAGCAAAGGAGAAGTAAGGAAAACCAGAAGAAAAAAGCTTTTCCAAAACTGTATTAAGATACATTAAACGTTTGTATGAAAACCAAGTCAAAAAGCGACCTAATTCACTGAATTACATCAAGGAAAAGCAAGAAATTATAAAAGTGAATATAAAGGACAAAAAAAGAAAAAAGCGTTTAAACATTTACAAAATGAAAAAAGCTTACCGAATCGTCGCTGCTACTGCTATCCTGCCACGTCTTTTTCTTCTTGTAGATGCAACAACATTTGCTCTTTTTCTTTCCCAAATTCTCATTGTCCACTGTATCGGTAGTCCAATTCACGTGTGGTCTTTCAGGCTCACGAGACAAACGCAGAACCAATTCCTGTATGGAAAGTATGGATGAGTGATAGGAAATATAGTATATGTTATTATTAGGTTTGACATTCATCTTTAGTAGGGTTTCCAATCAATACTCAAACGACTACGTCTCCTGTCACGTTATCTGTGTTAGCATCTCTCAAAGAAGAAAAAACTTTAGTGCATTAGACTGAAACGATTAGAAAAGTCAGCGCGCTGCCTAGGTAGAGTTTCCGTGCTGATAGCTCTTGGAGGAAATTCTTCGAACTTACGGGTTATTATCTTCGATTTATCTGTGACTGCAATTTCAGATTGCGGAACCAGCAAATCGTGGGGTTAGCGATGCACCAGTGCTTCGAACAAGTCGCCAGCGATTCAAGAGTGTGAGAAACCGGCGAAGTTACTCTCGAAGGTGACTCTTGCTACTTTTCCAGGCTCGCGAGCAAGATAGTTCGCAAGGGCTTGAGGAAGTGGCGAGATGCAAATGAGAGGAGCTCCCGCTAATTCCCAATCTCTCACCATCAGGATACTTTAAGTTCACAACGGCTTATTCGGTGACACTCAAACAGGTCACCATCATCAGATCACTCAACGCCTCAATATGAAGGTAATCGTTGGGTAGCCACAGTTACGTCTACAATCCTATGACCATGTTATAATGTGAGTGAGGATAACCACAC